CCATGTAGAAGAATGCTTTCTAGGGAGCTTGGACTTTTTGACTGAGAGAATGAATTGTTGTGTAAAATGATTTTCAGGCAAGAGAACGTACGGTAGCTATTCTATGAGGCCTAATCTCCACAAACCTTGATAAGAAGGACAAGTTGATTTTGCAACTGATGTTGAGCACTGGATACAAGCAGAACTCGGCCACATTTGAGTTTCTTATCCATACTTGGCACTGCTGAACATCGTAACAGAATATTCTCCTATAGATCTTTTACCACACTACCCATTGTTGAAAACCAGACCTGCTAAGCGTAGCCAAAGCTCAGCTCTTTTCTCGATGAAGTCAACTAAAACGTCGTGGAATTGACGGATGGGAGAAATCGTAGCTTCGGAAGGTTCACACATTTGGCATTCTGTCTTAGGTAGTGTGGACAGGTGTTCTTGTGCCTAAATATAGGAGATTTGTATTCACAATTTCATTTGCGCAAAATATGTTCAGGTTTTGATTACACAAATTAGGCAATTAATCGTGTTCGAAAGTTCGAAATTACATCACTGGTTACAACAACACACCTTCTCCAGATTAGTTTTCCTCGAAGGACCTTCACGGAGAGCAACACATTCTACAAACGATCTCTGCAGCATATCTTCCACCCGCAAATGTTCAACTCGAAGCAGATTTAGCAGCATCGAGTATGTAACCCGAAACTGAGAAACCAAAGGTGCTGGTTTACCCTGAAATTAAATTATCCAAAATTACGGGTTTTTCAAACAGCAAACTGACCATCATTATAGTCTGCAGCTGGCCAGGTTCCACCAATTTCGGCTGCTTACACAGTACGATAACTGTGCCAGTCGTATCTAAACCTCTTCGGCCAGCACGTCCAGCCATCTGAACGTAAATAATGAAACTAATAATTATCGCTAATATCATGCACACCTGTATGTACTCTCCAGCGTTCAACGTTCTAAGTTCCAATCCATCGTGTTTTTGAATGCTATCAAAAACGACAGTAC